AACAATGGCAACAACAACAACAACAGCTACAACAGCAACAATCGAGGAAACAATGGCGGTGGGGGACAGTACCCGCAGCGAAGTAATTACCAGCAGCAGCAGCATCAGCAGTCCTATGGTGGACATCAACAACAGCAACAATACCATCAGCAGCAGGCTCAGCAGCGATCGAACTACTCGAGCGGAAGCTACTACAACAACGCCTCCAGCAACTACCCTACCTCTAGCAATTACGGAGGTCAGCATAGTTATCAGCAGTCCTATGGTGGTGGTCATTATCAGCAGCAGCCACCTCAACAGTCGCACTCCTATGCCCAGCAGTCCTACTACGGACAACCGCAGTCTTATGCTGCCGCACCAGGAGCCCCCAACGCCCCTCGCCAGGCCCCGTACGGCGCCGCCGCCGCCGCCGCCATTCCGCAGTACTACACCAGCGACTATGTTCCCAAAGGAGGCGGAGCCAGCGGCAGCAGCAACGTCGGCAACGGAAACGCCGCCGCCGCGGACAAGTACCGCCAGCAAAATTACAAGCGCTACTAGACATCAAAACCTTTGTACAAAACGCTAGCAATCTCCCCTCTTATTTTGCAATGCAAGTACAATTCTTTCTTTTTCTTTTTTTTTGCCACAGCACACGCCTCCTCTTCTATTGAATTCTAAACAATGTCTCAACTCTTATGAATTTTCAGGCAGTGCGCTACACATAGGATATAATATCTCTGTCTTTTCATTTTTCAACACCTTTTTTTGCACCTCCTTTTACTACCCAATTGTTTCTCAATTACTCACCAGGATGACTAATATGTATTCATTCACTGAACAGGTGGTGGTGGCGATGGCGGTAGTAGCCAATGATGATGATGATGAACAATAGGATATGACAATTATTACATTTTGTTTATTCATTTCACTCTTATCTTTTTGTTGATAATAATCCCTCCTCACTTACTCAAAGAAACAAAAAATAACCTCAAATACAAAACTGGTACAACACATGCTCTTCTTCTTTTTTCGCCTTTATTTTCCGAGACTAAAAGTTTCACCGGATTGGCACTTCTTCTACTAATGTAAAATGCGTGTGTGTTTGATAAAATAGAAATAAAGTCCTCGATTTTTGAACTCCTCAAACTCCTCAAATTCAGGCGGCATTATTCAGGTCCTCCTGACTCTCCGCCTCCTCCACCGTGTTCAGCGACTTTAGCTTCAGGTCGAGGACCAGCTTCTCTCGCTTAAACTGCTCCTCGTAGGTCTCACGCTCGCGAATCAGCGTCGGGTGGCCGTCGTGGATCATCACCTCGGCCGGTTTGTTCCGCGTGTTGTAGTTGCTCGTCATTGAGGAGCCTAAAAAGGAGAGGGAAAAAATTTTAGAAAAAAAATTCAACATAAAAAATAAGCTTACCATAAGCACCAGCATCGACAATGATGACGTAGTCACCCGACTCCAGCTTCTGCCCCAGCACCAGGTCTCGGTGGAAGACGTCCGTCGTCTCGCAGATCGGCCCCGCCACGTTGTACTTGAACTCGGTGGTCAGGCCGGCGGAGGCCTCGTGGCCGCCCTTCAGCTGGCCGGGCACAATCGGGTGCTGTTGGCCGTACTGCAAAGAAAAAAGAGTGTAAAAAATTGTAATAATCAAGTTTAATAAAATAGTCAACTCACCAACGCCGTTCGCGCAAAATCGTTAAAACCCGCATCAACAATGGCCCAGGTGGCCGGTGGTCCGTGTCCATGTCCGTGTCCACCNGCGCCGTTCGCGCAAAGTCATTAAAGCCGGCATCAACAATGGCCCAGGTGGCCGGTGGTCCGTGTCCATGTCCGTGTCCACCATGGGAAGCCTTGCTCAGCGGGTTGCTGCCGATAAAGGACCCAGATCGGGGCGAGGAGGGCCCCGGCGAGGTGGACTGGTCATTCCTCACCGGCGGCGCCTTGACGTACTCCACCTTGGTCAGCAGCACCCCGCCGTCNATGTCCGTGTCCGTGTCCACCACCATGGGAAGCCTTGCTCAGCGGGTTGCTGCCGATAAAGGACCCAGATCGGGGCGAGGAGGGCCCCGGCGAGGTGGACTGGTCATTCCTCACCGGCGGCGCCTTGACGTACTCCACCTTGGTCAGCAGCACCCCGCCGTCGGCCACCAAACTGCGGCCCGGCTCGAGGACCATCTTCAGGCCGCGCTCGGTGATCGGCTTCGCCAGCCGTTCCACCCACTGCGGAATAGTGTCCGCCGCGGGCGTCTCCGAAACGTGCGCCGAGGCGCCGGAAATCTGCGCTGCAAAGCCTCCACCGAGGTTGATATGCTCCACGCAGATGCTCAGCTCCTGGCGCAGTTCATCAGCTAGGGCCAGTAGGCGATCTCGCGCCTCGATGAACGGCTCCAGCTTGTCAATGTTCGAGCCCAGGTGGCAGCTGATGCCCTTGATCTTCAGGCTGGCGCTCGCCTTCGCTCGGCTGTAGATGGCCACCGCCTCGCCGATCGGTACGCCAAACTTGTGCCCGCCGCTGCCTGTGAGAATGTTCGGGTGGGAGAGGCCTTCCCCCGGGGAAGAGGATTAGCATTTGAAAAGTTCCTAAAGTTAACTAAAACCTAGGTTAAAAAAAGCCCCCCAACCACTCACCATCCAAATTCAGCTCCGGATTAACGCGAATGGAGATGTTCTGCATCTTATTGTGGCGACTGGCCACCGCCTCAATCCGATCCAGCTCCTCCCAGCTCTCCACGTTGATGCACTGCACGTCGGCCTTCACCGCCACCGTCAGCTCCTCCACCGTCTTGCCGCAGCCGCTGAAGATGATCTTCGCGGGGTCGACGCCGGCGGCCAGACAGCGGGCAATCTCACCGCCGGAGACGACGTCAAAGCCGGCGCCTAGCTTGTAAAAAAGGTTCAAGAGGGCGAGGTTTGGGTTCGCTTTCACCGCATAGCAGAGCATAAAGTTCTTGACGTTCTTCAGCGAGCCGAGGTAGAGGCGGTAGTTGTCGACGAGGCGGTTGGCGTCGTAGACGTACAGGGGCGTGCCGTACTCTTCGGCGAGCTCCTTGAGGACGATGCCGCCTGAGAGAAAGAGGTTATGTGTTTTGAGATTTTTGAAGATTTTTTTTAGGACAAAGATGTACTTACCCACTTTGAGCTGGTCCTCGCCGTCGTAGGAGTAGATGTTGCGCTTGTCATTCCGCACCAGGTAGGCCTTCACGTCGCGACTGTCGGCGCTGAGGACGGTGCCCGAGAGGCGGCGAGAGAGGCGGCGAATGGAGCCCATAAAGCCGGAGCCCTCCTTGTTGTCGGTGCTGTCGGACATCTTGGCTTGGGTGTGGTTTTTGTTTAGAATCAAGGATGATATTGAAAGAGGTGAAGAGGATTCAGTTTGAAAGTGGTAATCAAGGGCAGTAAATGGAAGTGAATGAAGCGAAGTGGTTGTGATTTGGGCAAAAGTTGAAAGAGTAGGTGACGATGGCTGCAGTGAAATGGTTTGCAGTTTGGCGTTTGGCTCGGTTCGGCTTGGCTTGGCGTTTGGCTTGTCCGTTAGTTTGGCGTAGCAAAGAAATTTGACTTTGAGCAGCACTTTTTTATATGACTGACTGAAGCGCAGCACTGGGTAAATGAAAGTGAACCAGCACTGGCACTACCGTCACTTTCTGGTAGTGGTGATAGTGCGAAAGGGCGAAAAATAAGAAGAGATAACCGAATGAATCGACTCTTCGAATCACTGCTGTTTCATTGCTTCTTTCTTTCTTTTTTACACCATCTTCAGGCAGTCAGTTAGCACCAAAGACAAACACTGGGCGCACGTTGACGTACGTACCAGGCAGGCAGACAGGCAGTGCTAAAGACAGTGTAGTGTGTCTGCTGATAAGTTCCCAAAACTGCCTACAAAAATTGTCGAAGGTTGATAATGGACGCTGCTGATGATGATAGGACGGATGCTAATAATAATGGGCAGTGAAGAGGACTGGCTGATAAACAACGAACTGACTGGCTATGACTGCTGTGTGGCTGCAGTAGCGTACTACCAGATAATCAACTGACTGACTGACTGCTGCTGCTGATTGGCGATGAATAACATTTGGCTAGATGAGATGAAAGAAGAAAGAAGTCATCGAAAAGAAATAGATGGGAAAGTGAGAGTTAGACACCGAGCGATTGAGTGCAACTGTCAAAGCAGCCTGTCACACATCAACGGGCCGAATTACTAGTGGTAAACACCGCAATAAATAAAATGAAATAAAAAGCGACTCTTCGATCTGTTCTAAAGGACGCGACTGCAAATGATCGACTGCGCCTATGCCTCCACTGCTGCTGCCACTGCTGCATCTGCCGAATTTCTATGCTAACCGTTCTGTTCTGTTGTGCTGTGTGCCTGTTGTTGTGTCGTGAATTTGGCTGTGTGTGTGTGTGTGTGTGTGTGTGTGTGTTGTTGGCGAGAGCATCCCCGTCGCCACACAGGGAGTAGCAGTAAAAGCGAGGGAAATTGGGAGAAACGGCGATGCTGTTGAAAACGAGAAAGGGAAGGAAGAAAAGAGACCTTGGAGTCGCCAAATTAGTGAGATAGAGAGAGAGAGAGTGGAAAGGGAAAGAGAGGAGCACTGGCTGGCACCAGAGGAGCAATAGCTGTGGAGTGCCTGCTGCTGATGCTCATCGACCATTCGCCCGTAAGTGGCTAATGCTAATGCCAACGATGGAGAAATACGAGAGAGTCAGCAGGAGAGAGCAAGAGAATATAACAGTGCTCCCTAATAGAATGAATGCAAAAGCGTTCACTTTCTCCTCTCCTCTCCTTTGCATTCTCTAATGGCATCTTCCAACAGCAGCTCGTGGAATTGCTGCAGCAGGAGAGGATGCGGCGGTGATGGTGGTGGTGGTGGCAGTCACAAGACGGTCGCACCGCTGCCACCGTTGGAGTGCTAGTCAATGGATAGGTCTGCTTGCTTGCCTGACTGCCTGCAAAAACAGTGGGAAACATTCACGACAGCAGCAGAAGTTGGTGCCTTCTTCAGAGTCTTCACCTCTTGTTAGTGTGGTGGTGAAGTGAAAAGCATCGAAAGCTGCTGCTACTGGCGTTTAGAGTACTCTCTCTTTCTTTCCCTCTCGCCCTCTTCCGTTATCAATCGTGGGCACTTCTTCAGCAGCAGCAGCACTGGTGATGGTGCCTCTCTCCCTTGGTAGTCGGATTGCAGCCCCGCTGATAGATGTGCTCTGGTGATAGAGAGGGCTGTTGCTGGTAAACACAGTAGGCAGTAGTTCTTCTGGTATTTTCGGGGGTGATGGTAGAGCTGGTGCTGGTGCTTCTGGTGGCACACAAACAGCACCAGCTCAAAAGCGTTGAAGAAAGACGACAACGAGGATTACGTCGGCGATGGTGGTGATGGAGATGATGTCCTTCCCGTCTCTTCTGGAGATTAGCACCCAAAAGTAACTGACTGCCACTTCGATTGAGGAAATTGAATCAAATCTCTCTTTGGGTTGTGGTGATAGGAACACTTGCTTGTAATGTTGCTAATGATGATACTTCTGATGATGATAGAGCTGGGCACTGGCCCCCTCCTCTCCAAAGCAGACTTGTCCTGAAGTGAGTAGTGAGTGATCACTAATTTAATGCCACTAAAAGGAGAGAAGAAAGAAAAACAATCAATCAGTAAATCAACAGATACTGACAATCTCATTGACAAATAGAACATCAACAACTTCTTCTTCTTTAACAAATTATGATCATGATGACAATCACCACTACCACTACTACCACTATCACCACCTAAAAGTAGCTCCTAAAGAGTGTGGCAATGGTGGCCACCCAAAATGGCACCACCGGAAGGTCACCTTTCGGGTCCTCCACCCGTCTGGAGCAGTCCAGCAGCGCCCGGTGCTCCTCCTCCAGCCGCTCCCTCAGCCCTTGGTCCCTGCTGACGAGGACAATGGCTGCCTCGTTGTCCCGCCGCACAGAGCGGTAGCCAAAGTTCGTCGAGCCGATCACCGTCACCGAGGAGTTTGGCTCGGAGGGAAAGAGCCAAATTCCCTTCGCATGAAAGGACCACCCTGGTTTGCTGTAGTACCAGAGGGCAATGTTCTGCTTCTGCTGCTGCTGCTGAATACGCTGCAGAAAGCTTCGGACGTAGTGCGTGTACACCAGCGGAATGAAACGCAAAATTCCGGCGCCACCGTGGAAGCCGTTCGCCTCCTCGGAGGCCATCACAATCGAGGTCTTTGTTGTTGTTGTTGAGGTTGTTGAGCTTTTGTTGTCGATGGTGGTGGTGGGCGTTGTCTTCTCTGTTGTTGTTGTTGTTGTTGTCGTCCTCCTCTTCGAGCCGAGCAGCGTGCTCTGGTACGCCCTCGTCAGGTTAAAGTACCCGGTGCCGATGTGCAGCCGATATTGTTGAGATGTTTCTACTGCACAACTCTTCAGCAAACCTGAGGTGAACGCCTCCTCATCGGCGACGCCCAGCGTGCCCAGCTGCAGCAGCGGAAAGACCACCGTGTCCACCGTGCTCTTATCAGCTCTTATCAGTTCCTCTTCTTTTTGCAGACAAAAGCGCTCATTGAGCTCGCGGATCGATTTGACCGCCTCCCGCCTAAAGTTCCGCCGGTGCCAGAGTCCTCCTTTTCTGGGGTCGTACCTCCAGCTCGGATGCAACCGGAAGCTGCCGTCCTCCTGAAGGGACATCGAGAAGCGCGACACCGTCCGAATCAGCTCGTCAAAGTAGTCGCAGAGGGCGGGGCAGTCTCGCAGGAGGACGTACCGGTCCTGGCGGGTGGTGAAGTAGGTGTCGCCGAGGTTCGCTCCGCTGATCACCAGGTGGTCGTCGAAGATGTACAGCTTCATGTGGTGGAGCGAGGAGAGCTCGTTCCACTTGGGCGTCCGCTGGATCCATCGCTTCCACAGACCGCCCAGATTCAGTGTGAGGTAAAAGTTGACCTTGGCCCCTTGTTTGACTAGCGGAAGGAGGAGTGACTTTGAGGATGATGAAGAGGAAGAGGACCTTGTAAGTGCTTCGCCGGTGACCTTATCAGCAATCATCATCGGAGACGGTGTCTCTCGAGTGGCTCGGTTGTAGTCGAGGAGGACGGTCAGTTCGAGGTTGCTGACTCGGGTTTTGGTAGCGGAAAGACTGGCCACCTAATAGAAAAAAAGATAAGTTTTAAAAGTTCGAAAAAGGTTCTAGAACCTGCTTACCAACTCCCGCTCCAACTTCCCGGTGCCCAGGTACAGCGAGGAGAGGCTGATGCGCTTTTCGCTCTTCTCAGCTAGGTCCTGAGGTTCAAAGGTTAGTTAGTCAGTAAGATCACAATCCTCTTTATCCTCTGTTATTGAATACTGAGCAGACTTTGAACCTACCTTCAGGGTACTGTAGAACTCCGCCGGACTCTTGATCACCGAAACGTTGGCCGCCTTCACGGCGAAGAGCGGCACTCTCAGGTCACCACTTGGCTGCACCAGGTTGAACTGCGCAAAGGCGTTCAGCAGTCTTCGGACGTTGGCCATCTCTTCGAAAAAAAGAAGAGGAAATGGTGAAAGAAGTTTAAGGAGTTTATAGAAACTCCACTGAAAAGCCGGCGACAAAGAGAGAAAGTAGAAAAATCGCGAAAGCAAATGACAACAAAATCACATGTGCGGAGGAGGACAGGGGTGGGAATCGAGTCCACTTTTCCGCTGTAGCTACACAGCCAACGTTACGCGCCCTCTAGCGTTGGCTGTGTAGCTACAGCGGAAAAATGGACTCGATTCCCACCCTTGGAGGAGGATGTTCGCTGGCGAGGTTGTGATTTAGTGTCGTCAGGCGGCGCTGCGAGCGTTTTTACTGGCGTTTTGTTTTGGACCAAAACACTTCTTTTTGACAGCCGTTTCCATCACGACGAGCCGAATTTGGGACAAGCCAGTTCTGGCGCAACGGGATCAAACAGATCAGACGCAGTAGTGGTGGTGATCCTGCTCTGATTTTGAAGTTGACCTACTTTTTGGTGATAACAAAAATGGTAAGTTTTGATGATCCGTTTTGATCAAAGCTTTTAACACATTTTGATCCTTTCCCTTTAGCAGCAGCAGATGATTTTTCGAAAGATCGAAGCAGCCACCGACCGAAGCAGCAGTCTGGTGGTTCACTACGATGTGATTCCCTCCTCCTCTTCTTCCTCTTCAAATCACCACAATGAAAAAATCAGCAACTGCAAGAAAGTGTATGTCTGAATTCTCGAGTTTCTATTTCCCAACAAAAACCTAATCCTTTTCTCATTTTAATCTCCTCACCAGCATCACCATCAGCAAGCCGGCCAACCAGGCGGTGGACCTTCGCCAGCTGGCGGCGAAGA